AGGAATGGACTAGCCTGGCTGCTCAAGACCCCTTCCAGCCCTAAGATTCAAAGACAAATGATGTGGAAAGATCTAGATTAGCACTTGTACCCTTTGCACTTAAGGTCCTCTCTAAGTGGGAGTTAATTGTGTAGTAGGCCTCCTGTGTAAGTACCAAGCTTCACCCGCTTTCCACGCAGGATTTCGGCAGGCTGTGCAATGCAGCCGGTGCCAACAGAGGGCGAAATTCCTCAGCAGTGGAATCAAACGCTGAGAATCAGAAACTCGAGGTGGGGGAGGGGTTTGTTCTGGTCATATCTGTTTCACAGTTTCTTGGAATGTTAGAGCTGAAAGGGACTGTTCTGGGAAAGCATCTGGTAGGATCCCCTTATGTTAGCAGATAAGAAAACTGAGACCCAGAGTGGGACTTTGTCGCCCAAGGTTACACAGCAAGTCAGCAGCAGTACCCGGCCTTAAAACCCCAGTCTTTTGACTCTCAGTCCAGTGCTCCACCCATGGTGCCACCGTGGCCGTCCAGGAAAACAGAGAGTGACTCCAGGGTGACGTGGAACGAGGTTCGCCTCCGAAGCCCACACCCTTAGCGGAGCAGAGCAGGCGGGAACCTGGGCCTTGAACTTCTTGGTATTACCAGGCCCACCCACCCAGGACTGCCGCCGGCTCTGGGCAGAGCTGCCTTCCCGGGCTGGCTAGTCTCCCTCTCGAAAGCCTACATGTTTCCAAATTCACTTCTCCAACCCTAAACTGGTGCTTCCTTAAGACAAAGCTTTTTAAAGGGCAGATATCTGCAGAAAAAAAAATATGTGTATGTATATATAAATGCAGCGCAAAGCAGCCTCTCCCGCGGGTGGAGTGCCGGCCCCTGACCCTCCCGTCGTATTTTCTCTCTCAAGCTGTACATGGTGCGGACCATGCTCGAGTCGCTCATCGCAGACAAGAGCGGCTCCAAGAAGACCCTGAGGAGCAGCCTGGATGGCCCCATCGTCCTCGCCATCGAGGACTTCCACAAGCAGTCCTTCTTCTTCACACACCTGCTCAACATCAGCGGTGAGCCTCCGCCTCTGGGGAGGGGAGGGGGCTCCTGGGTCCCAGAGCCGCCAAGGCCGTTGGGCCAGAAGTGGCAAAGAGACACGATCGTTGACCCACAGCGGCCTATTTTGCCAGCAAGGAAGGAACACGCACATTCTGGTGGACTCCGGGAGGCCAGGCCTCAGAGCAGCTCTTCCGGTTTAGCTGGGAATATCTCTCTGGTAGACATTTGTGGCTGATTTGTCATGAAGCCCTTAGTAGAGAGGGCTCAACAATGGTAACACACGCGACAGGGCAGAGGGAGGGAGACACAGCAGCACCCTAGGGTCGGGAGAGTGGTAAGGCATCGCTCGGTACTGGAGAGCGGTGTTAACCAGTGGTCCAGAGTCTCCATAGACAGCAGCCCGGGAAGGGCCTTCGAGGCCTCTGGGCGGCAGGGAGTCCAGCAGGACCTCGCACACAGGGACACAGGGCTGCAGGCCGATTAAAAGCAGGCACCTGGAGACCCATCCTGACACTGTTTGTAGAGCAAGCACGCTTTTACTCTTAGACTGTGTTTTCAGGATGGCTTTGTAGGAGGGCGATGGAAATTGTGGGGACATCTAAGCTCTAAAACATCTCTGCTGCCCTCCCCCATGCACTGCCACTGTCTATGAAACTCAATAAGCCCTGTCTTCTAATTAGACGTAGCCTGGCCTTCAGGTACAAGAGAGCTGCATCTGCCGAGCAAGTGATACTCACGAGGACCTCTTGTGTACCTAGCACAGTCATAATGAAAATTAATAGAAACAGTAATGCCTAAGATCTCCTGGTGCTGTTTCTGTGTAACCCGAGGCTCCCTCTCTCATGCTTTTTAGAAGCCCTGCAGCAGTGTTGTGACCTCTCCCAGCTCTGGTTCCGAGAATTCTTCCTGGAGTTAACCATGGGCCGGCGAATCCAGTTCCCTATCGAGATGTCCATGCCCTGGATTCTCACAGACCATATCCTGGAAACCAAAGAACCTTCCATGATGGAGTAAGAGGCAGGCCTGGGCTAGCAAGAAGGTTCCTGGGGTGCAGGTGATGGGTGGTTTGCCAGTGAGCTCTGTTCTTTCCTGAACTTCCCAGATGAGGCATCGTGCCCAGCCAAGGATCGGGTCACACCAAATTTGACCCAGCCTTGCAGATAGATTCGGAAGTCCACCAGCCCGTCTGCCCTGCCTGTGCTTTGTCGGTCTCCTAACAGCCATGCTGGGAAAAATGGTCATCTCTGGGGATCAGGAAGCTAATATCTTTAACTGCCACCAATACCTTTTAGTCCCAGGCTAATTTTTTCAGGCCTTGGATTTATCAGCATCATGGACTTTTGACTTCTGTGCACAAACTGTAGAGGAAGTCATTCCCAGGGGGAGGCTGGAAACATCAGAGTGCTGGAAGGTTCTCTTTTGCTCATCTCTTCACCCAACACTTCACATTTCCCAAGCAGGTATAAATCTACCTACCTTCACAGAGATGATTAGTAAGCTGCTGGCTGTTGTTTTTCCCTCTTCAGGTACGTGCTCTACCCGTTGGATCTGTACAATGACAGCGCCTACTATGCTCTGACCAAGTTTAAAAAGCAGTTCCTGTATGATGAGATCGAAGCCGAGGCAAGTGACGCATTTCTCCTTTTGTTCCCAAAATCTTGTTTTGAGAGTCTGGACTTTTCAGATTTTTAGCTATTGGCACAAAGCAGGGTATCTTAGTCCATTCAAGCTTCTATAACGAAATACCACAGACTGGGCAGCTTATAAACAAAAGACATTTATTTCTCACAATTCTGGAGGCTGTAAGTCCAAGAAATAGGTAAAATTATTTTTCTAAAGTATCTTTTTTGGTTTGATTACCTGGTTATAATAGCAACAGTAATACCACCTATCATTTATTATATATTTACCATTTGCCAGGCACAGTGCTAAATACTCTATAAGCATTTAGAATAACCTTTACAATTTAAAGAATTTCTCCTATTTGAAGGAGCTCTCGGGGGCCTCTTTTATAGTGGCACTAATTCTGTTCACGAGAGCTCCACCCTCGTGACCTAATCACTTCCCAAAGGCCCCACCTTCTAATACCATTCACTTTTGGGGGTTAGGCTCTCAACCTATTCATTTTGGGAGGCATATCATAGGGGGTCAATGACTTGTTCTGGAGAGTGATCTTTGTGAGCATCAAAAAGGACCGAGAGGGGAGGACTCCATAGCGCAGTGGTTAGCATGTCTGCTTTATACGCATAAGGTCCTGGGTTCGCGCCCCAGGTGGAGCCAGGGACCATACTTCAGGTGCCCCAGGTGCGCTGGGCCCCCTGGGTGCGCCAGGCCCCGGGTGTGCCAGGACCCCAACGCCCCCCGAATGTGCCAAGGGTGCGTGCCACGAGCACGTGGGAGGAGACGCCCCACCTTCAGAGATCCAGTTCTTAAAAAAAGGGAGATGGCAGCATCCAACATCGGGGGTGGAAGTGGTGATGGGGGGATTAAAGAGGGAGAAAAAGTAAATAGATAGATAGATAGATAGATAGATAGATAGATAGATAGATAGATAGATAAGGACCGAGAGCAGGATGACAATCTCTCTTTTTCGACTGTCGAAGGGATGGCAGATGATTGAACTGCCTAGGTAAAATTATTTTTCTAATGTATCTTTTTTGGTTTGATTACCTGGTTATAATAACAACAGTAATACCACCTATCAATTATTATATATTTACCATTTGCCAGGCACAGTGCTAAATACTCTATAAGCATTTACAATAACCTTTACAACAATTTAAAGAATTGCTCCTATTTTACTTTAAAATCTGAGACTTAAAGTGATAAAGTGTCATTACTCCAAGGTCACACAGCTTACAGAGTCTCTGTCTAGTACTGGTGGGACTGAAATAGCCATCTTCTCAATTATTAAGCTATGTAATAAACAGTCACTCAATGGCTTTATTCTGTAATGGTCAGGATATCCTAGGTTATGCTGCAGTAACAAACAACTCCAAATATTTAGTAGCTTAAAACCAAAGGTTTATTTTTCCTTTATGGGTTCGCTTGGGGCTCTGTTCCATGTAATCTTTAATCTGGGACCCATCTGGAACATTTACTGGTTGCCATGGCAGGGGGAAGGGTTAGGGCGAATTACATTCTGATACTTAAAGCTTCCATCTGAAAGTGACAACATGCCATTGGTCAAAGCAAGTCACATGGCTGTACCTCCTTTCAAAGAGAAGCCAGGAAGTGCAGACCTACCATGGCCACCAAGGACCAGAAACATGAGGTCAGTGGCGCTAGTGACAACCAAAATATCTCATCTTCGCTTTTTGGAAATTGGAATGATAGTCTCTGCTCTAAAGTACGTGGGGTAATATAAACGTAGAATGAGGCCAATTAGGTAAAATTTTTTTATAAATTTAAGGCGTTCTCATTATAAAGGGAAGACATGAATGTTTTACGGTAAGCATCACCACCAAATTTTTTTGAAAGTTTATGTATATCAAAGAAAAGCTAGTGGAGATGCTGCTTTCTTTCTAAATCTTCTGATTTCTACGGGAGCTGAAAATCTTGATGGACCCCAATACAAATCTGTTCCCTGCTCTCCTGCCCCCTCTCTCCTTCCAACCCCGAATTCTGTTCTGCATCATGAAGGGCCTCATGAGTACGTATGTGGATATCCAAGCTTTGTCTACCCCCCTGCCCGCAAACAGTGGCCCCTTGGCCCACCCGGCCCCTAGGGTTCCACATACCTGCAGTGTAGTTCACTCTTGGGGATGAACCCAGGGGAAAGAGCACCCAGGGCTTGAAAGCGGCTCGGGCCATTTGGGCAAGGATATGCAAAGCTGGTTCTAGAAGAGGAAAGTGGGGTATGAGTGGCCACCGCAACCAGGACCCTGCAGGCTCTTACCTAGAGGAGGCCCCATGCCCTTGAAGTTCAAAGTCCAGGGCAGAGGCTTTGCTTACCTGCAGATGAGGACACCACTGTACATACCACTGTGTTTTTGTGTTAAGGGTATAGCACCTAGGGTGTAAAATAAGAGACATGAAAGCCCTTTGAATAAAAGTGATAATTTTATGGAGCTGTGAATTTGGTGAGAAAGGAATCGAAGATTAACCACCTAAATAACAGTCTGTTTCCTTTGAAGCTATTCTTACAACCTGCTTCTACCACAGCCTGATCTCTGAGGTCCCACCCTCTGCTATTTCCTGTTCCTGCCATGTTGGAGGGTTTGGTTTTGATCCTCTGTGTCTGATGTGAACTCGCTTCTCACTCACGCATCACAATCTGTCATCAATGTGATGTAACACTGAAATGACAAGATAGTCCCTTGTTCATTAAAAATCAAAAATTTTTAAAGAATATATTTCTTCAGTTTTTAAATTTCTAAGACCCTCGCTTCTTTATTTGCAAAGCAAGATAAGGGAAGATGAAAGGAAAAGATAAGAAAGTCAATAGCGAGAGGTAGCCTGGGGAGGCTGATACGGGTCATTACAGGATATGAAGACCTATCTGTGGCAATTCCCTTGGGCAGGCCCCTTTTTACAAGAGGGGGGGACCAGCAGGGATGGTGATTCCTCAACAGCTTTTTAAACTTTGCTTTCTCTGTGCCTGACAGAAGACCTTGAGAGCAAGGGACCAGACTTCCCAGATTTCTTGGCCATAGAATCTTTTTTTTTTTCCTTTAAAGCATCTTCCCCCGCAGCACACTCTGGGCAGGCCTGCTCGACTGCCCACTTTGAGTTGCCTGAGTTTCTGTAATAAAGCTGGACAGACGCCATTGACATTTTCTGCTTCTTCTTCGCCAGGTGAACCTGTGTTTCGATCAGTTTGTCTACAAGCTGGCAGACCAGATCTTTGCTTACTACAAAGCCATGGCTGGCAGGTATAAGAGCCCAGGGATTTTTGTTACAAAGCCTCCCTTCTTTAGCACTGAAAGGAAATCTGAGGGAGACCATGGGCCTGGACTTGATAGGAGAAAGGAAAATAGGCAGATATGGTGCTGGGCCTCCTGGAGCTTACTGTCCAGTGGGGAAGACAGGAATTAATAAAAACTAATGAATGTACAGTGACAAGAGAGGTTATGTACTCCCCATAAAGGAAAAGTTCATGGGAATATGGGAATATATAATAGTTAAACCTGAACTAGTCTTTGGGCTGGGGAACCGGAAGGGCTCCCCGGACGCCCCTGAGAAAGTAACATTTCATTTTTCAAATTGATAGAAGTAAAAGTAGGTGAAAGGTGGGACAGGAAATTGTAGGCAAAAGGAACTACTTGTGCAAAGTCCCTGTGGCAGAAGTATAATAATAATAGCATACCAAATACCCTGTGGTGTCACTTATATGTGGAATCTGAAAAACAAAACACAGGAACAAACAAAACAAAGAGAAACAAATTCATAGACATGGAGAAAAAGCTGGTCATTGCCAGAGACGAGGGTGCGAGGGGATGGGCAAAAAGGGTGAAGTTTTAACAAGAGGCACAGACTTCCCAGTCATAAAATAAATAAGCCACAGAGATGTAGTGTACAGCATAAGGAATATAGTGATTTTATAACAACATTGTATAGTGACAGGTGATTACTAGACTTCTCATTATGATCATTTCATAAGGAATATAAATGTCAAATCACTATGTTGTTTACCTGAAACTAATATTTTGTATGTATTATTTGAAAAGTTTAATAATAGTAATAATAATAGCATGCCTACCTGTTAGGGTCATTCAGAAGACGAATATGATTAGTACCTGTAAATGTCTCTCTTCACAGACCACAAGAGGGGGCAGGCTTCATGACAAAGCTGGAGAGAGGTTGGAAGAGTTGGAGAAAGCACAGGAGGGAAAGAATGATCTAGATCAGTGCTGTCCATTAGAAATATAATGCAATTATAAATGCGAGGCACAAATGTAATTTAAAAAAAATTTAGTAGCCATATTTTAAAAAGGAAAAAGAAACAGGTAAAATTAATTTTAAGGATATACTTTTTTGTAGTCCAATATATCCAAAATACTATAATTTCAACATATGTAACAATTAAAAATTATCGAAGAGGTAAAA